GTTGAGAAATCAAGCAAGCAATAAGAAAAATCATACTGCTAAGAAATCTGTTGTCTTAGATGTTTGACTTTTTTTTTTTTAAGATGGAATCTTGCTCTGTTGCCCAGGCTGGAGTGCAGCGGTGCAATCTTGGCTCACTGCAACCTCTGCCTCCTGGGTTCAGGCGACAATCCTGCCTCAACCTCTGTGCTACCACGCCCAGCTAATTTTGTGTTTTTAGTAGAGACGGGGTTTCACCATGTTGACCAGCCTGGTCTCCAACTCCTGACCTCAGGTGATCCACCTGCGTTGGCCTCCCAAAAGGCATGGATTACAGGCTTGAGCCACCACGCCTGGCCTTATTTGATACTTTGATTTACCTATCACTTGGGCTTTCTCAGAGCTATTGTTAATAGAATTCGTTTCTCCCTTTGAAAACAGGTGGATAAAATCGTAGAGTTGTGAAAGTCAAAACCGTTAAAATTTGAAGAGCAAGGCTAATTTGTAGGGTTTATAGCTTTCCAATATTATTAAATGACTCATCACGGCTAAATTTCTGCACTTTTATTCCCGACTTTGGATAGTGGGCAAGTCAATATCATCAAATATTGGGTAAGAAAGACGTAAACAGTATAATGTCTGTTTTTACATATATCATCTAGTATTAGGTTAACTGACTGGAGTATACGGTAGTGCTGTAGCCTGCTATTCACTCTAATTCCATTTAGGAGAATTTCTTGGGTATTATAGTAATACCTAGTCTATAAAAGTATAATAAAAAAATGCTTTGAAGGGGGAAAAATCTCCTTTTGGGGAAAGCAAGTTACCCAGATCCTTTTTACACCAACCAATGGTCACACAGTGTCCATTCCAAAGTAATGTCAATTACCTGAGGTAGGAAAACATCCAAAAAAAACAGAGCTAAATAAAAAAAAAAAAAAGTAACTAGCTCCCACCACAGCAATTGCTTAACCACAGTATCCAGAATGATTTAACCACATTAGAGTCTGTAGCCAGTGGCAAGTATTGAAAGCAACTCAGCTTCCAAGAAGATGTACACATGGCAGCAAAGAAGCATCTCTTTGTCCTTTCTTGATGTTTGGTTTCTAGATGCTTTATGAGCAGATCTGCTTGTAGGCCTTGTGTGCTTGATGACTGGCCCAGCAGGCTCTCTCACAAATCATCACCAAACTTATTCCATTTGCTTCTTTTTTCAGAGTCTCTTTAATTAAAGCTTAATCAGTCCTCCCCCTCTTAAAAACTTAGTCATTCCCCTCTGTTCTTAATTAGGGCTTGAAAATTTAAACACAAATATTTCAGACTCAAAGTTAGACCTGTTAAATATACTGAAAATGAATAATGTAAAATTCTGTAATATGTTCAATACCCCTCCATTTTTTTTTTAATGGACAGTGACATGTTTCTTGGAAATTATTTCTACATATAAGGCCTGGGATAAACTGTAGCCTTATTTTCCTTCCTTCAATTATTTTTATTTATATCATTCTGTTACTCATTTTTAACATGTTTTCTTTTTCTTAATGTCATGATTTCTCCACGGTTTACTCTGATTTAATTTTTTCGTAACAGTGTTGCGCCATTCTTGAAGATACAGTCTTTCAGATTTAAGGATTATAATTGAATCAGATATATTTGATTCAAAATCAAGTTTCTGAAAGGTATCTTTAAAATTATCTAATCTAGTCCCCTCCTTTTACTGTTGAGAAACTAAGGTGCCAGGAGAAGTCACCTGATCATTGCAATACTTCTTAGTAGGAGAGTGGGAACTAGAATCAGATCATCTAACATCCAGGATATTTGCATGGTTTCCAACTGTTCCTTCTTTGTAGCTGATGTCCAGAATATAGTGTGACTTCTAGCAGGATTATTGTAATCTTTTTAGTTGGATACAGGCCCTGTGAACTTCATCTGTTTTTCTGGGCTCAAATCTCTGGCTGATCATTTTTGGTACTATTTGTTTCTCTGAGTAGGGGCCATGACTACAATGAGATGTCAGCTGGGCACCTACTGATCCACTGACTCTCATGAACTTCATCCTCAACATCAGAGTATGGAAGAACATTATCTTCAGATGAAGGAATAAATGTCCCATATGCTGTTTCTGTTTTGAGACTTTAGAACTGAAATAACAAGGGTAATTGTTTGAAAGCAAGCATATAAGTTTTCTTTATTGTTAATTCATTCCCTTAACAAATGAGACTGTTTTCTGGCTTATTATTATTATTATTATTATTGGTGGTAAGTATGCCATGACTTTCTAATACTAATTAGGCTGATTTACTTGGTACAGAATATTTTGGAAGACCCCTCAATCCCAGGCAAACTAGGTTGGTTGGTCATGCTGATAACAATGTATGTATATATGTTAGCGAATGCAAAAAGATTTTCTAATGCTAATAAATATATTTTTAAAATACTGTTTATTTTTACCTCCTTTGACATTTCTCTTTTGTGTTTGTTTTATGCTATGTTTTTGTTATATACATTTGTATAACTTGAAAAGAAAGAAATACACACACAGATATGCACACACATTGCATATACTTGCTCAAAAGGTATTTCTTTTCCGCTTATAGTTTATGCCATTAAAAAGAGTTTGGAGTTGATTGATTTTCACAGTTGGGGATATGTATATGTGAGGAGGATGGGTCAATGGATACATAATCAAACACATGCATTTACATAGAATCCAGAGGTTAGCAAAAGATTTTGGCAAATGAAATGATGCTTTAGAATTTATAGAGATTAAAAGAGTTATATTTGGGTATCATCTTAGCATAGATTACTAACCAAAGATGTCACATGTAGGCTCAAAATAAGTAAGCTCCTTTGTTTTTAAGAAATTTTTGTCCTTTTTTTTTTTTTCAACCTGATGTTAGAAACCACTGAAAAGGGGTTCTGTTGTTTTTTTGAGAGCAAAATGACTATAGACATTTATTGTGTATTTTGATAGGTGTCTATTTAAAGGATCTCCCCTAATTTTAGAGAGTATTAGGTATATACATAACACAAAAATGTTAACAGGGTTAGTCACAAATTCTACTGGCTTTTTAAAACAGTATCCAGTGGTTTTGTTCAGCATTCATCCTCCTGGATCTCAGTATAAGTATGCAGAATAAAGAGTGTAACTTCACCTTCTGAATGCCCTTGTTTGTTTCATACTTTGATTATTCAGGTATGTATAGGCTTTGTAGGTCTGATTCTGCAGTTTGTTGGTCCTGCTCACTCTCATTCATGATGACTTAATTCCTGGTACATGTAGTGTTTTGATTTTGAATTTGTGATCCTTGATATGTCATCCATGAGAATTCTTTCAGTTATTTGTTTGAAATACGTTCTTCAAGAAATGAGTTGCGTTTGTTTCTACAAGGTACCTGTGGATACTATCAATATAAATCACTTTAAATTAATGCATGGCCTTCTTTTTTTTTTTTTCCATTTATTTATTTTATTGCATTTTAGGTTTTGGGGTACATGTGAAGAACATGCAAGATTGTTGCATAGGTACACACGTGACAGTGTGATTTACTGCCTTCCTCCCCATCACCTACATCTGGCATCTCTCCCCTTGCTATCTCTCCCCACCCCCCACCGTCCCGCCCCTGTTTCCCTTCAACTGACCCCAGTGTGTAGTGCTCCCCTCCCTGTGTCCAATGCATGGCCTTCTTTTAAGGCTGTATGGGCAGCAGATATTCTAGCATCATGGAAGTGAATTTATGGTTAACAATTCCTAAGGAAGATTTTTTTCCTTTTTTTCCTCCTCTCCCACTCAAAGCTTTGGGTGAGGTATGCGAAGTGCATACTCTGGAATGGGTATTTTCCTAGTTCACACATCGAGGATATCACCGTCACTGAACGTTAGGTTTCTTGATGCTATATTGACTTCTCAAACTGATTTCCTACCTTTCTTGTGGCCTCAAATTCTTTTCTATACCTTGAATTCTCTACTAGTTCAAGACAGACTCTAGGTTACTGTCGTTAGGTAGGTGCCTTCAGAATAAATGTTGGTGGTTCAGTGCTCTATTATCTTATAGAAATGTCTTTTCATCTTGTCTGACTTCGGTTTTGTCTTCTCTACTGCTTTTTAAAGCATACTTTAAATATAAGTTTTTAATATGTTATTGTACAGTTTCAAGTATTTTTTACCAAGAAGATATTCTTTGAATATCTAGTCTACTTTTAAGTTTTAAAAAGGGGGCTTTTAAGGCCAGCCTTGTAATCCAGTCTTGAAAATCTGTTTTTATGTAATTACAAGTCATATTCAATGATATTTACCTAAATTTTTCTTATTAATTTTCAAAGCTGATTACATCATACACTTTTATAACTTTCTATGTGGCTCTTACTAGCTTTTGTATTGGTAATTGGGATGTGGTTAATGATTTGCTGGTTGCCAGTGTTGTGAAGTAGTTGTTAATATTTTGCATTTTTAGACAGTAAATTTCCTTTAAAAAATACTGTGCAAATCCAGAAAGAGCATAGATAACACTGTCCTTTTCTTCAGACTTTGCAACTTGAGTAGGAAAGATTTTCTTTTCTTTTTTCTTTATTATTAAACAGGGTCTGACTCTGCTGCCCATGATGGGGCGCAGTGACATGACCTTGGCTCACTGCAACTTCTGTGTCCTGGGGTCAAGCCATCCTCCCACCTCAACCTCCCAAGTGGCTGGGACTATAGGCACATGCCACTGCTTCCGGCTAATTTTAGTATTTTTTGTAGAGGTGGAGTTTCACCATGTTGTGCGGGCTGGTCACAAACTCCTGGGCTCAAGTGATTATCCTCCCCGGCTTCCCAAAGTGCTGGGATTAAAGGCATGAGCCACGACGCCTGGCCAAGATCTCATTTTCTTTGTCTAGAGAAAATTGCACATCCATTCAGACATTTGAGAGAATAATTTATATTCTCCTTACTAAGGTGATTCATGTAATAAATATCTTTCACTTTTTGCCTTTCTTAGTTTTATAGTCCTTAATATTGTTGGGTTTAAATTATTTTGCAGGTATTCTTTAGGTGATGCTAGAAGGCCTCTTCATGAAACAGCAGTTTTGGTTGAAGATGTGGTACACACTCAGTTAATTAATCTGGTAAGAACATTAATTTAATTTGATTCAGTATCTATTCTCTGCATTCTTTTATTAGGATTGTAACCCAACACTTTGAAAAAATATTTTATTTACATCTTGAATTCTTTTTTGTCAGCATTATTAAAGTATAATTTATATGTAACAAAATTTACTAGTTTAATGCAAAATTTGCTGAGCCTCGACATTTGATGTTATAATATTAACTTATAACACAACCATGATACAGAAAATTTGCATCATCTAAAACAAACCCTTGTTCCCCTGGGCAGTCAGCAGCTATCATCATCACAGCAAAAAGATTAGGACTCACTGAAGGCTCAGATGGTTGTTAGCATTTTGTAACAATGAAGTATTTTTAAATTAAGGTGTGTACATTATGTTTTAGACATAATGCCATTTGACAATCGACTATAGTATAGTGTAAACATAGCTTTTATATGCACTGAGTAACCCCAAAATTTGTATACCTACTCTGTACCCACAAAAATTAAAAGTTAAAAATTAAAAAAATTTGTCTGACTGCACTTTATTACAGTGGTCTGTAACTGAACTTATAGTATCTCTGAGGTATGCCTATACCACGTTTAAAGAGAAATTCATTCATATTACCTTCTAGTTCTTGTATGATTTTATTTTTACTTTTAGATCATTAATATATTTGTTGTTTATTCTTGTTATTTTGTGAGATATGGATCTAATTTTATCTTTTTCCAAATGGGAACCCAATTTTACCATCACCATGTATTTCAAAATTTATCTTTTCCTTAGTGATTTGAAATGCGTTCTTTATAATATACTAAATTTACATATATATTGGTATCTGTTTCTCGTTGTATATGTTATACTAATGGTTTACTATATGTATATCCTAGTATGGTGTTATTACAGGTTTTATAGCATATTTTAATGATTATTAGGGCTAAACTTCTTGGTAGTCTTTTTTTTTTTTTCAGTGTTTTCCCGGCTATTCATGTATGTTTATTGTTCCTCATGGATATTAGTAGCAACTTGTCTAGCTAATAATAAATTTTCATTGGTATGTTTATTGAGATTACAAGATTTTATAAGTTAAGGAGAACTGCATCGTTATTAAAATCTTGAATCATTCTATGAATATGGTATATCTACATTTGTTTGAAACTACTTTTGTGTCTTTTAAGTTTTGTTTTAACATTTTTCTTTTAGCTTCACACACTTCTTGTTAAGTTTTTTTTTAAGTATTCCATCTTTGTTGCTATCGTCAATGGATTTTTTTCTGTGACTAACAGCTGAAAACATTAAAAAGTTTAATGAAATACATAAATCTACAGGTTCAAGATGAGTGAACTCCACTTAGAACAAATCCAAAGAAATGCATGTTCAAACTGCTGAACAGTAATAGCATAATACAAATTTTAAAGCCTGACAGGTTTATTATTATAGGGGAAGTATGATTTGAAAGATAGTGGAATTCTTATCAGAAAACATGCAGGCTCGAATGAAATGGTACAACAGTTTTAAAATACTGAATGTAGGATATTAGATTGACGATTCTTTTTATCTATATAGCCCTCTCCCCTTGTTTACATGTCCTCCTGTCTTATAAGGACACCAGATATTTACTATTTAGTGGTATTGTTATTCGTATTAAATCTATGTATGTTAATTTTATATTACAGTGTTGTCACTTTTCCTGTAAAGCCAAATGCTTTTAAGGAACGAAGACAAAAAAAAAAGGAAGCATATGTCCTATTTTGTATTTACCCACATATTTACCATTTCCCATGCTCATTCTTCATTCTCACAGATTTTTGTTGCCATTTCAGTCATTTCCCTCAGCCTGAAGAAGCCTTGTAACTTTTTTTTGTAGTACAGCTTTGCTAATGATGAAGTCTTAAATTTTTTTCATCTGAACATATCTTTATCTTTGTTCTTTAAGTATGTTCGTCCCTACATGGAATTCTAGGTTGATAATCTTTTCCTTGCAGCTTTTTGAATATGTCATTCTAATAATTTCTGACCTGCATTAATTTCTGACAACAATGTAACTGTTATTCATTTCTTTCCCTGTATGTAACATGTAGTTTTTTCCTGGCTGCTCTCAAGATATTGTCCTTATCTTTGGCTTTGAGTAGTTTGCTGTCTCTAGGACTGATTTTTTAAATCATTATCTTCCTTGCAAGTTTGTTTTTCTTGTTGACACTAGGTATCAATTTGTGGAAGTTTTCAGCCATAAGTTTTACCATTTGACATTGTTTCACAAGGCTCTCACGGCCTTTAGTGTTTCTCCAAACTTTCTGCCCCTTTTCCTTCTATTGTTTTGTTTTGTTTGACTTTGGTAATTCCTATTGATCTATCTTTAACTTTACTATTTTTTTTCTGCCATCTGTAATATGCTGTTTAGTCAGTGCTAATGTGATTTTCAGTTTAGCCCATAGTATTTTCTATTGTAGTATCTGTTTGAAAATGTGTCTTACTGAGTCTAAACTCCTTTTGAATTATGGATATGTACTCTTATATTCCATTTTAAATATAGAACTTGAAACATTATTTGATGACTGCTACACTAGTATAAACAAGAAATAGTATGTGCTTCTACTTATAATGAGAGATCCTCTTATTACAATAGATGCTTACCTCTCCTTACCCATTTAATATTTGAATGGTAATTTTGATGCCTATTTATGAGATTCATCCTGTCCAGATTCCACTAAATATTACATTGAATGATATACCAGCTAGACATAAACCTTGTTTTGTTACCTTTACAATATCCAGGCATGTGTCAGAGTGGGTTCTTCAGAGGAAAGGAAGAATTATAGAGAATAGTTATTTTTAAAAAGTCAGTTCTTTTTAACCATAGAATATTATGCAGTCATTATAAATTATATGTGTGTGTTTTGTGCTCTTCATTTAAATCTCCTTGTAGTTCTTTATCCATCTACCTATTAAGACCAATTTTTTTCCTGTAATTCTTTCAACATTTTTTTTTTTTTGAGAGGGGGTCACTCTGTTGCCCAGGCTGGAGTGCAGTGACACGATCTCAGCTCACTGCAGCCTCTGTCTTTGAGGTTCAAGTGATTCTCCTATCTGAGCCCCCTGAATAGCTGAGATCACAGGTATGCCACCACGCCCAGCTAATTTTTTGTGTTTTTAGTAGAGATGAGGTTTCCACATATTGGCCAGGCTGGTGTTGAAAACTTGACCTCAGGTGATCTGCTTGCCTTGACATCCCAAAATGCTGGGATTATAGGCATGAGCCACCACACCCAATCGGTATTTTTATAACAGCTTTGTTGAAGTATTTATAGTCTAAGTTCAGTAACTATACCACATTGGAAGCCATTTATATTGACTCTGCTTTTTACTTAGTAGGCGTCATTCTTTTTTTGTTTGTTTGTTTGAGACAGAGTCTTGCTCTGTCACCGAGGCTAGAGTGCAGTGGTGTGATCTCTGCTCACTGCAGCCTCTCCCTCCTGGGTTCAAGCGATTTTCCTGTGCTGGGACTAGAGGCACATGCCACCACACCCAGCTGATTTTTTGTATCATTAGTAGAGATGGGGTTTCACCTGGCTAGCCAGGATGGTCTCGATCTCCTGACCTTGTGATCTGCCTGCCTCGGCCTCCCAAAGTGCTGGGATTACAGGCGTGAGCCACCGCACCTGGCCAGATGTCATTCTTCTGGGTTTTTTTTTTTTTTTTTCCATGTCTAATATTTGTGTTTTTAAAAGTGGATATTTTATATAATACACTATTGTGACTCTTCTGAAGACTTTTTGTTGTTTTTGTTTTAGCTGGCAGGTAACTTGCCTGGACATAAAATGTTCACTCTCCCATATTGTAGACAGCAGCTCCCCTGTCTCCTTAATTCTTACTGCTTTCTGCTGCTGTTTTTTCCCGTTTTTTCTGGCTTTCCCCTTTTGTGTCTCTCTGAAACTTGCACATTTGAACTTTTGAGAAGAAAGGGAAAAATATGGGCAAATTGTTTTTTAAGTGTTGATACTCCCTTACTGTACAATACTAAGTAATTAGTATACATTATATTGTTTTCTAAATTTTTAAATTTATTGTTAAAATTACATAGGAAAAAAATCCATGTTTTGTTTTATCAGTTTTTTTATGTTTTGTCAAATGTGCAGTCTTATAACCACAACCAAAATTGATTCAGAGCAGTTTCATCACTCCCCAAAAAATTCTCTCTTTCTACCCATTGTCAAACTTTTCTACCTTAACCAGCCTCTGCCACCATGAGGTCCCCATTGTTTGTCACAGAAGGAGAAGACTTCTCATTTAATTCTTATTGTCTGTGCTTGGTAAGCATTGCTAGATTCATACTCCCTTTGGCTTCAATACAGAGGATGAGTAGAAAATAAAAATGAAACTTACTGCCAGTTTTATTTTTGCTTTTAGTATCATTTTTAATAAACACATAATTTTACATATTTTGGGGGTATAATGTGATACTTTGATATATGTATACAATGTGTAATGATCATATTAGGGTATTTAGCATATCCATTACCTTAAACATCTATGATTTCTTTGTGTTGAGAATATTCAAAATCTACTCCTCTAGCTATTTGGATATATACAATAAGTTCTTGCTGTCATAGTCACCATATAGTGCTATGGAACACTAGAACTGATTTCTCCTAACTACCTGTTTATCTGTGAGCAACTCTTTGGCTATAATTCCCCACTTCCCTTTCCTCACCTCTAGTAGCCACTATTCTATTTATAGGTAAATACCGCATGTTTTCACTGATATATGGAAGATAAAAAAGTTGATCTCATAAAAATATGTGCCTGGCTTATTTCTCTTAATATAATGTCCTTTAAGCTCTTCTATGTTGCCACAAATGACAGAATTTCCTTATTACGGTGAAATCATATTTCTTTGTGAATATATACCACATTTTTGATACTCATTCATCTGTTGATGGACACTGCAGTTGATTTCATGTCTTGGCTATTGTAAGTATTGCTGGAATAAACATGTGAGTGCAGGTATATCTTCAGCA